TTTGTATAGTGGCATAATGCAAGCCCCAGAGTGGTTCTTAATGAATCAATAAATAAAATCAAATAACAATTGAACAAATTTGGAGCAAATGTGAAATACACCTCAAGAAGTGTTTTAGCCCCTTCACTCTTCAATCTCATTAAGGAAAAAACAGTATGATTTTGTGACTTTTAACCTGGATTATGGTCTTGACATGCTCTGATTTGACAACCACAGACTCAGTTTATTTGAATTCAGACTTTAAATTCTAACTTTTGTGTTTGTTTGGGCTATGGGGACAGGGGGGCGTGGCTTTGCTGACGTCCATGCCCTTGCTTACGTCTTATGTGAGATACTGTCAATTACTATAGCTCCAGTTTTCACTGGCGGGAAAAAATGCCATCCGCATGTAAACAAACCCTGTTTGCGTCCTGTGCTCCAGATCCATAACTATACATTTGACCCGCCATGCTTCCCCTTTAAACCTTCTCTTTAAACCCTTTGAAGCGCTCCCTTTCTCGACGTGCTCGGAAGCCAAACGCCACATATTGGGTTCTTGTGTATTGTTGTCAAAGTCAATGACACGCTAGTTGGGGACTGCTTTGTGCAGCGGACATTTTCTCACCCGCTGCTTGTATGGGGCCGAAACGCAACACCGACACCAGAGACCTGTTGGCTTTCCCTGATCTCGGACACAATGGCTCCCGTCCTCTCCTCTGTGAATGTGCGGGGCGGGGCGTTTTTGGGGCACTGTGTCTTTTACAGGATTGATTTACAGTTAAATATATCACATCTTATGCATTCCTTTACACAATAGCGTATAGGCAGACCATTTAAACCAGTACTTGAATTGATTTTACATTTTATTGTCCCCGTAACTTCTTGAAATTCCTTCTGGATCAGTAAAGTATGTCTGTTTCTTATAGTGCATTGTTCGTTGATTCCTCAAGCAAGTAGTACGTGAGGCTGCCAATCTGTGCCATCAGTCCCTTCGACCACCAACCAATCACTAACATACACACATTACATTTAAAATAGGCAAAGTAGTTGAAGTGTCTTGCCTAAGGACACAACTACAATATACACTAATCACTGCTGCCACACTTATAAAATCCCTATGCGCAACTTTTCTGGTGGAGGGTTTGTCACTTGCTTGTCTTCATTGAAATGTTATTGCTTTGTCTATGTTCCACAGTATAGATTAAACCTAAATCTATCTCAAGGGAGACGGTTATTTACACAGACTTATTTTGACCTCAAGAGCTGCTTATACCATATATTTGTACTGGGACAAGAGACATTTTGCTCAACTAAAACTGGGTACAGGACCTTTACAATAATCAAAATACTTTATATTTATTTAATGTTTGCTTTACATTCAAAATAGTTCAAATTATTTATGCTTTCAAAAATTGTATAAAGTAAATTTTTGTTATATAATGTAACCCAACACCACTGTGTTCTATCTGTAACCTCCTCTGGACCAGTTTTGTCTTGTGACCCACTACTTTTAACTGATATAGCTAGGGGAGTGCAGAAATATCGAAATACTGATATATCGTATTGTTTAATGTGATGATTCAGCATCGATATCGGGGAATGCTGCATCGATATATCGCCAAGAGTTTTTTTTGTGTGTATATTTTATTAAATTATTTTGTTACAGTGCTACAGTTTTGTTGTTTAGTGAAAGGAAACTTGTTTATACGACACATTTGACATTTTCACTGTTTTGATGATTAAAATGTTTGTGTTTCATATGAACTTTGCGCAAGAAGTGGTTTAACAAAGACTTTTATATTATCTAGTATCACAGCCTTTGTATCAAGGTATGTATTGTGTTGGCAACTTCTTAAGGATACCCAGCCCTAGATATAACTGATATCTGACGTCCTTTAGGTACAAGTACACAGTGAACCAGCATTCCAAATATCCTTGCTTGTTGCAGATGATTTAACGTTTCACCTCTCCCCTCTCCTCTCCAAACATCACCACCATCACTCTACCATCTTTCCACCTCCTCCCCCTCTTCTCTTCTCCCATGGTGGCTCTGCAGACCGCTCGCCCTTATTTGCTTCCCCTCACTTCTAAATGTTTATTGCAAACTCCGTCTGCTTTGTGTTTCCCTTCGTATTGGCATATCGGCATTCTCACACACAGCTGTCCACCTCTGCAGCTGTCCAAACAAGCACGGCTCTAAACCCAAGCCAAACCCCAAAAAAGTCCGCCTCCTGGATCTCTGGATGTCTTCTTCTCACACAAATTGTCACTGGATCGGCGCAGCGTTGGAGTTCATACACACAGAAGGGATCGCTTTGTGTCTCCTCAGTTGTGGGCCTTTGTTTTGCAGCGGAGTTGGATGAGCTAATTAGAACCAAAAGTTGTGGTCGTAATTGTAGACTCGGGGCTGGTGTGAAGTAGGCGTTTTAAGAGGCATATTTTGGTCATCAATAAATGTTGTAGCTGACTAAACACAAAATCCAGATCTTTCTCATGTGCTGATTCCGCTTCGTACGGCCTTTAATTTGCAATCTTTGACGACGTAGAGCGACTTTATATAGGCTTTATATATTTGCTGTGTCAACTCACATCTTGTTCTTTTTTATTGCACTTGTAAATCTCTAAAATATCGGTACGAAATGCAAACATAAGCAAAACGTCTGGGTCATGCTAGAGCGTTGTCAAAGGTCGAAAATTAGATTATATATCGAATCTAGATAAGATATCGATACTAAAAAGTCACATTTAGGACAGAAGTGAACCTTCCTTGAATATCTTTAGAATAATCTTGAGCTGTATCAGAACAAATATAAAAGCACATAGACTAGTATATGCCCATGGACCACTGTGGAACCTACCTGGACCACTGATACTATTTCTATTCCCTTATATGTGTGTAATCCCTCAAAGAGTTGTGTCATTACTTTTTTTACACATTTTAATACTTATTATCTACTTCATTAAATGGACAGTAGCTTTGCAGGTAGTAGGGGGGGGGGGTCCAACTAGCCTGATTCATCAGCCGGTTTCACTTTGTAGAAACCGTCTGACCTCACAGCATTAGAATTTGTTCGCTCGACGATAGGTGGGTACTTTTTTTTTTTTATTTAATCAATCGCTGCTATTTGGTCGTAACGTGATGGGGCTAACTGGTATATTAAGCTTTTCCCAAACCCCGTAGGAAGAAGGGCAATAACGTCTTACCCCTTGATAAAATTCACTAAACATTCTCTTTATTCCGGCTTTAAATCCTTGATCTTGAGAACACAAAATGTATGGCTCTTTGCTGATTGGCTGGTGCCCGAATTCGCACTTCCGGGGTTTTTGCAAACCATCTAGTGTATTCTGATTTCTGACCTAGTCGCTGGAGAGAAATGAAATTGAGCGGAGGCACTAGGTGGCGCCAACCTGGCTAGGGTCCACCACCTGCTTGTCTCCGTGGATGTTATTGCTTTTCTTTGTTGTTGTTTTTCCACAGTATGGCATTAAACTTATCTATTTCTATAGAGATAAGTAAGCCACAAGATCGTGCACACATGAGAAAAATGATCTTGTGAGTTTTTTTCTGCTGAATATACCTTTGGCTTAGATTAAAAAAGAGTTAGGAGTTGGTGAGTTGCACAATTTGAGAAGCTTTAGTTCCAAAAAGCAGTACTACAATAGCCGTGAAAGTATTACATAAAAAAAGTACAAATTGTGAAACCATAATTGTGAAATCTTTGCACTGCTTTTTTATTACAAACTATCTCAAAATTTTATCTTGTCTTGTTCTCATGGTGTGTCTCCTCTTATGAAAACTGAGTCTCGTCCCACTCCTAGAGGTAAAACATTTGAAAAGACACATACTGTAGGGCCGAATGATTTGAGAAAAATATCGAATTTCGATGTTTCTGACAAGCTTTGCAATTACAATTTGTTCTATGTTTTAAAAATCCTGATCAAAGTTCAGATTTTAAACACAGAATTCCAGAAGAATTCACAAAATGACTGAAATCTGAACTGACAAACGAATACCAGAATCACATTTCAGAACATGTTTGTACAGATAACAGTACAGGTTTAGCAGTTTTTATGCAGAATAACACAGGAAATGTTGTTGTTTGTTTAAGGAAAGGAAATTATGGTACTTCAAATAATTGCAGCCTTTGTGATTTGCTAATTGTGTCCATTCAAATTGTGATTTTGATTCGTTATGATTTAATCTTGCAGCCCAACCGTACTGTGGAACATTCCGGGCTAAGAAATAAAACCAGGCATGTTTATAGTTCATCACCAGTACTATGAGTAAAAGATTCAAATGTATTACTATACTGAAATGCCTCTTGAAATGTTTCATTTAATATTCTGGGGCTCTAATAAAATAGATAACCTTTGTTTGTGGTCACAGGTGATTAGAAGTTGTTACGCACTTTTTCAATCTTTGGTCAGATGCATACTACCAGAAAAAGCTCAGACACACTTTTTACATTTCTTCTTTTTTTATATGATTATTTACATTGTACATTCATCAAAACTGTCAACATATGAAACATGGTGAACAAAAACTAAATTCAAAATAACTCTGAATTGGTTTTTCGATTTAAAAATACCCATCCTTTGCTCTGAAGTCCAGTTTGCACTTTTGGTATGTCTTGACCCATGACCATTTCAGGAGACAATTCATCAAGAAGCTCACTGAGAGAAGGTCAATGGTTTGCAACACTGTCAACAAAGCAAAGGGTGGATACTGTGAGGAACTGAATAGAAAATGTAAAAAAATATTGAGTTATTTAGCTTTTTCTTTGTTTTGTAATTCCATACATCTTACGTTATATATTTGATGTCTTTCGTATGTATCTAAAATGTAGAAAGTCAGAAATGTAAAGAAAAAACTTTTAACTGGTAGTGCACGTACGTTATCACCATTTTTCACTTTGTGCCATCTCCAAGTCTGGATAACAAATTGTGTATAAAAATCAAAACATTGCATGGAACAATAAGCATGAAATTAGCATTTGGACTAATTACGCTTTACATTCTAGGAATCGTACGGGAAATGGCCCACAAGTCGGACAGCAAGCTCCAGTCCATCTCCACCACGCGCCTCAGCCCCCAGCACCACCTCTGGTACGTCACGCCTTTTTTACCCCAAATAAGTGCCACTTTACCGGGCGCCCCGCTGTATCTGCCCTCCGCACGCACTCATTTGTCCTGCGGTCGCGAGGTGCCAGTGGAACTACAAGAATGGCCGCCGCAGCTCTGACTCGGCACTTCTGACACAGCTTTGGGTGATTACAATCAGACTTTTTCAGACTTCATTTTGTAAAAAGGGCTCAGCTAAATTAGCCGGCAAACCACATCTTAATTTCGAACATGTGTGGCGCTACGAATGCTGGCATCTCCCCGCGGTCTAGTCTGTTGTCACCTCGCTATTCAGCTTTTCGACGCTTGTAAACAGTAGCACGCTAGCTAACTGTTTACCCGCACGGCCATGTTGTTTTGCGAAGGTAAAATGTCACATAAAAAGGCTAGGCTAAATGCTAAGTGTGCTAAAACATGCTAAATGATAGATAATTATAATAAATAACATTAGACAGAATAATATTTACAATGTTATTTAGAAAACAACAACTTGTGCCGTAAAGTTTTCTGAAATGAAGCATGAAATAGGGGAAGACAGTCTTATAAATAGAGCTGCGGTAGTTTAAATTCCACTCTAGCCGCTTGACACTATTGTCGTGTCCATGGGCAAGGCACACATCTTACTTGTGTGACTGACTGCGACCATACCTGCTTGTCAATGCCCTATCTTGTCAGATCTCTGAAGCTTAGCAAAGTTGGGCCTGGTTAGAACGTGACTGGGGAACCGCTGGGAAAATGCCGTTGTGTCCTTAGGCAAGACACTTCACTCACATTGCTCAAACTTAGTTACTGATTCATGGTTAGCTAATCAACCAGAACTAGACTGCGATGTGTGAGTGACTGGCGGTTGTAGAGGCTTGGAATAACCTGTTTAGCTTGTAACGCCATTATTATGAACAATAGCCACACACGTAATAGGCTTTTATATATATTTAATATTGCAACACTGTTCACTGTTCACACAAGATCATAACAATTATACTAAACTATTATTCAATTAAGGTCTAATAATCTACTTTACTTACTATTACGTGAAGTATTGTGAAGTAAATCGTTTTGCTGTTCCAAAAGTGCAGACTAAGCTCCAGTGTACACTTAAAATATGTACAAGAAAAATGAGTGGAACATACAGTACATTAAAATACTATTACATAACATTGCAATGCTCACACAATGTATACCCTCTCCTTTCCTGGCCACCATTACTACTCCATTATCCCCTTTACCTCACTGTTAATGGCAATACAACCCCACACCCCTCCCCTCTCTCTCTCAGTGCCCAAGTGTTTCCATGTGAGACAGAACAGCACCTGCCCCACACTCTCTCTGTTATCCCAGCCAAAACACTGTCTGCTCCTCCGCTCTGCGCCGAGTGTCCATGTTGACTTTGGTCCTATGTTCAGACACGCTGTAGATACATAATAACTCCAACTCCAAATCCCGCAGGCCCCTGGTGTGTGAGGACATCCAGGACGACGTGGAGGAGGGGCAGCTGCAGTTCTTCTACATCCTGGCGTTTGTCCTGCAAGGTGACATAACATCTGTTTTTTTCTACAACAATATTGGCAATGCTCGCTGTCTCACGAGAAAATAGTGTTTAAGCAGCTTTGGTCAAAAAGAAAAGGCGACTACATAGTCCATAATCCTTTCTTTTGTGTTAATTGCAGGGTTTCAGATGACATCACAACGTTCTATCGATACACATGATACAGTGAAACATGCTGGGGGTGTTCTACATGCATCTCTATGGAGGGGTGTTCAGTAGTTACCATGGTGACACAATGCAGATCTTAGCAAATGCAAAAAAGTTTTAAGTTTGTCTGATAAAACCCCCAAAAATACAAAATGGATTTAAACAGACACATTTTCAGGAGCCTGTGATCAGTCCGAGCATTCATGGTCCTGTTTAGGAGTTCGAGTTTCAACAAAAAAACTGAGAGTGACAAACTGAAAAACTGTTCTTTACGATCAGATTGCATTGAAATAAAGTTCAGATTTAACTCTAATAAAGCTTCAGATAGAGCAGTCCCTACAGTTAGCATCACATCCAAAGTATCAATAGGTTGATAATATTTAAAGGGACAGTCTGGAATTTTGGACATAGGACCTCATTTCTTAATGAGCCAGAATGCTGAAGACGTGTGGAGACACTTTTTAAAATAATCCATCCAGTCCTTGTATTTGCAGAGGTCGCTGGTGCTAGGCTAGTGCATGTCAATGGCCATAGTTAGCCTGCCACTAAAAACCTTACCCACTCCACAAAACACCTGAAAAAATTCTGTTATTACACCGACTGTCAATGTAAATGTCTGTTGATAGAATAATGTTTGGAATAAAACTAACCCTGCATCGCATGTCGAGGGACTATTTTCTCAGCAGTAGTGAAATTTTACTTGGCCGGTAAGGTAGGTGTTAGGTGATATTACTCCGCCACTGCCAAGCTTTCTATCAGGAAGTACAACTCGCTTCTGCTGCTCAGACATAAATTCTTCAAATACAAGGTTGGTTTTGCTTCTAAAATTATTCTATCAACACAGACATTTACATCAACAGTCTGGCGTTATAATAATAATAATAATAATGTTTTTAGTGGCTGGCTAACTATGGCCATTGACATGCACTAGCCTAGCACCAACTACCTCTGCAAATATAAGGACTGGATGGAATATTTAAAAAAGTGTCTCCACACGTCTCCAACACTCTGGCTCACTAGGAAATGAGGTTTATGTCCAAAATTCTGGACTGTCGCTTTAATACAGATGGGAGAGCATCTAAAATGAATATTGTTAAAATGCTGATTTCTGTTGTATTATATCGAGCCTGATTTTTTTTTTTATCTGGGACTAGAATCTATAGCTCAACATATGTATTTATTTGGGAAATACTGTAAAAAGTGAATCAGCTTTAATATAATATAATTCCTATACACTTTTGTTAAGCAAAAAACACACTAAATGATACTTAGCTGACGTCATCAACATTGCCTGGGGTTGTGATGTTAACTGTAGTCTCCATTCCGTCTGGGGCTTTGTTAGGCTTAATCTGATCTTTATTTTAACACAATCTAACCGTAAAGGACCGACTTAGTTAGAATTACAACAAGTGAGCGGATTGGTGCTGTTAAACAAGTCTCAACGTACAATTATACTTTATATGTTATACAACATGAACACTCGTAGTGATCACAGGCTCCTGAAAATATGTGGTTTAAATCCATTTTGTATTTTTCTTGTGTTTTAAAATGTTTGTCAGTGTTTGTTAATTAACGAATGTGTATGTTTTATCACCATGGAACCCGCTAAACATTCAACCATACAGATACATGTAGGACACTCCCTGCGTGACATGACCGCAAAGTATTAATTCAAAAGTGGGTCATGACTTTTTAAACTTTAGGCTCCGATGTGTCACTCGATGTTTTTCGTTGTTACGTCGTGCTTCGAAATTAGGTTAAATTTTGTGATCTGGACAAACGTTTTCTAGAGCGAATGCATTTGGTCGCCCGTCCAAGTGTCTTCTTCTTCGGTTCTGACCCAGCACTCAGGTACAGTTAGAGATTTGGTGTCAGATTCTGTTCATTTGGACAATAAAAAGCTGTTTAACAAAGCACTTACGCAACAAAGTTAGTGGAGCCCATTCACAAGTAAAAAAAAATCACTTTCCGATAGCACACAATGGATTTCAGATTACATAACCATGGCTACAGAGATTTTAACTGGTGATTTCCTTCGGGATCATTTGTTGTGTGTCAGATCACAATACAGCATTTCATAGGCCAGTATAATTTAATACAAATTACGGGGAGCAAAAATTAATATTGTTTGTAATACAATGAGTTCTAGAGATTTGTGAATGATAGAAAAGGTCAGGTTCAACATTTGTGTGTTTACTGTTTGGACGTGTCATGGCAAAGTACAGTATTATCAGTATCAGACGAACTGGCTCTTGACTCATATCTGAGAGTATGACTTCATCTATCTGTCCATCTGTCTGTCTATCTATCATCTATCCATCTATCTATTGATCGATCTATCCGTCTGTCTGTGTCTGTAGGTCAAGTTTATCTGTTCATAGGTCTAGCTGTCTGTCTATCATCAATCTATTTATCTATCCATCAGTTTTTCAATTTATCGATAGGTCTATCTGTCTATTAGTCTATCTATCATTCAGTTTATTTATCTATTCATTGTTTTATCTATCCATTGGCTTAAATATCAATCACTTATCTATCTATCCATCAGTCTATATATATTATCTATCTAAACGTCTATCTATCCATTCATCGGACGATAGATAGATAGATCCGTCCGTCCGTCTGTCTATCTATCGTCCATCGTTCTATCTATCTGTCAGTCTATATATCATCTATCGGTCTAATCTATTTATCCATCAGTTTATCTATCTATCCATCTGTCTATCCATTCATCACTCTGTATTTTTATCCATTGGTCTATCTATCTGTTCATCAGTTTGTCTATCAATCGATCGATGAATCTGTCTATCTATCCATCAGTCTATCTGTCTCTATCCATCATCAGTCTCTCTATCTACCCATTCATCAGTTTAACTATCTATCCATCAGTCTGTCTATCTATCTGTCTTCCATCGGTCTATATCCATCGGGCTCTGCATCTATCTATTTATCAATCTGTCTTTTTATCTATTGGTCTATCTATCCAGTTTGTCTATTCATCCATTGGTCTATCTCTCTATCCATCTGTCTATCAGTTTATCTGTTTATCTATCCGTAGGTCTATCTGTCCATCTAGCCATCAGTCTATCTATCTATCCGTTGGTCTAGCTATCTAACCATCCATCGATTTATCTATTTATCTATCTGTTTGTCTGTCTATCTGTCTGTCCGTCCGTCCGTCCATCCATCGGTCTATCTGTTCATTCTTCACTCTATCAGTCTATCTGACATCTGTCTGTCTATCTATCCATCTACAAACTGAAGCTTGCTGAAGTGTTTATCTCCTGCACTAATTCCTCAGTGCACATTTTTGTGGGTCATGGAGGACCGTAGGCCACATTCCTGTACAATTGCTCCCTGGGTAAATACACAGATATGAGGAGTGCTTCAGGGGACTATTTACACACTTCATGTTCAGCTGACTTCTGGTACTGCTGTCAGAACACTACTCCTCACAAGTGTAACCTACCAAATTAAAATAAAGGTCATGCATAGTTTAGAGGTTAACTTGGACTTTGATTTTTGTAGTAAAAGCAATTCAAGTGTAGAATTGAGCCTGGTGAAGGTATATGGAGTTTAAAGCCATGTAGGAGTACGTACTGTATTGCTACTTATAATGATGTCATAAGGTGCAATGGACTGTTTTTAGCACTTAAGAAGAGTACATGACCTAAAAATGCTGATTTCTATGGGTATAATAAATCAATGTTTTTCATAAAGAAACAAAACTCAAAAAGTCAGATTAGGATTCTATACAATAAATGTTGATTCTAAATAAAGATTATATCATTGGTTTTCATTGAATTATTTAGTTTTGAACCAAAGCAAATTATTTTGAACCAAAGCAAATCATTTTTATATCAAGATTTAAAGGCAATGTATGTAACTTGTATGATTTTATGGACATAAAAAGTTAAAACAGTACTTTGGGACATTTTCCATGGAGATAGATACTTTTTATGATACTATGGAGGATGATAGCCAAAGCAACAACATTTCCATCGAAACAAATAGTTGGAAGCCATTCTCCAGGCCAAATAAAAGTCAAGTTTGTGAAGATGCAAGCCCACTCACCTTAAGGATGCATGTTTTTTGAGTGCAATAAACACAGCCAAGCCAATAAAAAACATGCATTTATCTTAATGTATTTTTGGACGAAAAGGTTCTACTTTTCTGGTGCAGGGCCTGTTTTTTCCATGGAGATGTTATTGCTTTGTCTGGAATGTTTTACAGCAGGGGTCATCAAACTGAGGCCTGCGGGCCGACTCTGGCCCTTCACGCCCCTTTGACCGGCCCGCCAGCCCCTCTGCCCGTCAACACTTGAACTGGACCTATGAGGCAATCCTCAAAAGTTGTCTTGGCCTATTTTTTTAAATGAATTTTTGGCAAATAATAACACATCTGCATCTTGTATTTTGTTAATTTTTTCAATAAAAAAAATATATTTATATGTAGTATTTATATTTGCATTTGAATTATTATATGATGTATTTACTTTTGCTGTCGAATTTTTGTCACCTGACAAGCCTGAGATCAAACTGTGAGAGTCAATGCACGCACAGAGTTCTGTAGTGCAGTTAAGGACAGCAAAATGACTCATGTTAAAGTACGAAAAGTTGACAGAGTGCAGAGTCTGTTTTCAAAGAATATAATCAGGGTCATACAATTTTGTGACACGGCCGACCTGACCCCGGCCCCCATCACTGTCAGGAGCCATAATGTGGCCCCCAGAGAATAAAGATTTGTGACCCTTGTTTCACAGTATGGTATTAAACCTTTCTGTCTTCATGGAGACCAAACCAGACCAAGTTACAGGTCAGATGCAGCTCAGATCTGTGGAGAGGTTGGAGTGGTCAGAATGCCTGTTTTTGAAGGTATTTTTGGCCTATAAAACCACCTGTAATTGAATAACTGTAAAGTAGAGCTGTTTAATGTCACACTATGGAACATTCCAGGCAGAACAATGATATACTCATAGAAACAAGCAGGTGACAAACCCTGAACCAAAAAGTTACATAGTGCATAGTCCTTTAACATAAGTACAAACTTTAGATGGAAACAAAAAGTTGACAAATATCTTTAATTTAATTCAGGTCAACAACATAATTTATTTATTTTTTTATGTATACCGGTACATGTATGAGACTTGAGAAGACCACTTTGAGAAGCATTGTAAAGTAATCTGAAAAAAAAAAAAATCATCTTTGTACTTCAAGAGATTAGCTGTAAAGAATTGGGTCAGCCAAACGTGACCGTACAGTAATCCATATTGTTTTGCTAATTCCTTTATTCCCTTTACCTTGAACTCGTGGACTTGGCCTGGTATGTACGCCTAAGTACAGTAAGCTCTTTAGCGACTAGCCCCCATCCCTTCCTGAAGCAGTAACTGGAGCATAAACATTTTTGTAATATAGTTTAGCATGGGGAAAACACGCTAACGTCAAAGCCTCTGTATTCTGGACATATGCACCGGATATGAACACGGGAAATTAAACGAAAAGCGGACATTGCCTTCAAGCTAAAACTCAGATATTGGAATACTAGCTAATGTTAGAGTTCGCGAGCAGTTCCGCATCCCATTTCGCAGATTTGCTATTGACACGCTAGCGCTAACGTACACTTCTTTGCGTTTTCTTACAGTTAAAAGCATGCTAACTAGCAGCGAGCAAGAATTTAAAGCGCGGTGACGGGGGCAAGCCTAGATCTGCCCGGTGCGCTTCTCCAGGGCAAAACTCATGAAAAGGAGATGAGTTTTTTGCGATTTCTACAGCCTCTGAATGGCCCCGACCACTGATGCAAGATTACAGGATAAATCACAACAGGTTATTAATCAAAATGTTATGTGGAAAGCAGAAGGAAGGGCCTGTAAATGTCAAAAGTGAAATACAACAGCTATTGTAGTACAATTTTTAATGCGATTTACTGGTAGACAATTAGACTAAACTAATAAGAGGTTAATGGAGTGTAAGATGTCTATATATAGCTAGGGTAACCAGATTTCCAAAATAAAAAACTGGGACAGCCCCGGTTTGTGGTGGTTGGTAATAATAAAATTGTGAAACGAGCGCGTAATTAAGGAAAATTGTTCTGCACTCTGCACTAATTTGAGTCAGTATAGTCACATTTTCTTGGTGTTTTTGTCATTTTTATGCAGCTTTTCTGTTTTTTACCTAAACAGTGACAATTTATGCATATTTTTACTGCTAGGAGGTATCAGATTGGTCAAAAATAAGGACACCTGAGACATTTGTTGTGGAAAAAAAAAAAAAACTGGGACAAATCACTGGTTTTGTATAAATCTGCTGGAACAGGGGACATAGGGCTCAAAACTGGGACTGTCCTGAGTAAATAGGGACGTCTGTTCACCCCAGTAGATTTACATTTTAGAGGATATTGACGATAATGAATTTAAGTATTTTTAGAAGATAATCACGAATTTAGCATCTTATATTTATGGAAATTAAAATGAATTAATTTTGTTTGTTTTAAATGTTTAATGATGAATTGATGAAGGAGACACTGTCACTGATGAAATGTTGTTGTTAGAGATGGTCTAAGGTGAATAGTTTCTTTAATTTTGTACCTGCCAAAGGACTGAAGATGGAAAAGAGCTTGTGGGCACAGAGCATCTTTTCTCTCTGAGATTAATGTTTTCTGTGCACTGTCCTTGTTTTAAATAAAATAAACAACATTATTAGGCACTACTAGGTTCATTCTCCAGTAACTTCTGGCAGTTTTCAAGCACAGTTTTCTTTCTTTCTTTAGACAAAAATATATGGCAACATATTCCCTTTTTACTGTTGATGGGATCAGACTGGTCAAAAATAGAGACCCCTGGGATATTTCAAATCACTGGTTTTGGATAAATGTGCTGAGACAGGGGATACGGGCCCTCAAACTGGGAATGTCCCGGGTAAATAGGGGCATCTGTTCACCCTATATATATAGCTAACAATTAAGTTTGAGAGTATCACGATGCTACAATTTCAAACTCATTTTAATTAAGCTTTAATTTCGATACTAAGGCATAGACTCGATGCGAGTACTGATTCTGATACCACAAAAAAATAAATAAAAATCTTTAGACATTAGAATGTGATTTTCAACATTACATGGTAGTACTTTCTTTTCTATTCCCATGTGGCCTTATATCTGTGTAATCCCTCAGTGGTCCAGGTAGGTTCCACAGTGGTCCACAGGCGTACTACTCTATCTATGTGCTCTTGTACTTGTTCTGATGCGGCTTTATTTTTTTTGTATCTATACCTGTTCATACTTTTGTCCTTGATCCATTTGCAATAAGGTACAATACTATATAAATAAATAAAATAAATATATTTTTTTATTATATATATATATATATATATATATATATATATGTGTGTGAAATCTGTCTAATCTTAGCATACATTTAAAAAGGCTTCTGATTTTCTTACACTTTTCTGTTGCAACACTAATCACTTTAATACTCATAATGGAAGTCTTTTTTTAGGTTTAAACCAACTGGATGTCTGTATTGAAACTGGCAACCCAGGTCACTCATTCTCATCATTTTACTTTTTATAATGGAGTTTTCCATGTTTTAATTTTCATGTTACGAGATAGTTTAATACACAATACTCATATTTCTTAAAACTGACTCTTATGAGCTTTAAATCATGTTGTTACCTCGTCAAAATATACCTCGAGTTGTGCTTTGTTTCATTCACACATGTTTGAGTAATACTTTATTATTAGTTTGTCTACATCTCCAAAGCTCAAAACTGCTCTGTTCCACCTTGTGATATCATGAAGCGGTGTTTTTTAAGTTAACAGCTACTTTTTAGTTCACTAGAAATTCTTGGGCTGAAATCAACCAAAGGAGTCTAATGAAGGAGTATGGAGTTTAAAGAACTGGGTTTATGCAGGATTTATGTGTTAAACATGTGTGAATGAAACAAAACACATCTCCAGGTCTGTTTGTGATGAGGAAACTACATTATAATTGTGGTGTGTGATTTTTAAAAATTGCTTGATATAGTCCCTTTAAACTAAGAGTAAACAAAGCCAGATACAATTTGTCAAAAAGTCGACATTTCCAGACATACTTGATCTTAAAATGTTTCAGAGTTTGTATCATTATGTATTACTTTGCACACTGACTCATATTTTCTCTTGTAGAGGAATTCTGGACTCCGCTGACCGTCCTCGCCACCAGGGAGACTCTGCACCTGCTAAGAGAAGACCACCAGTGGAGGAAGAGCGTCATCGACCCCACGTCCAAAGGAAGCGAAGAGCCCAGCAGCGGGGGCGTGACCGTGCTAGAGACTCAGCCAATCAGCTGCGTGAGCTCCATCGTCCTCTGGCCCACAGACTCCTGCAGGGTGGACATCAAGCTTTATGACGAGGTTAGTTACAGTTTGTGTATGATTTAAGATTATTAAAAAGTACAGGGGAAGTGTACTTTTTAGAACATCAGTATTGTCAAATGAAGATTGGGGAATGATTAGCTACCATGACACAAATGTTAGACCATTTTGATGAACAAAATTTTATTATTTGCTACCCACAACTAGTGGTAAGTGTAAATATTCAGTAGTCTCTGTAGATTGCATTCATAACATTCAAGGGAACCAATACTGAGGTAAAAAATACTGTCTAAATATGATCTTGGCAAGCAGAATCAATCAATCAAACTTTATTTGTATAGCACTGTTCATACAATTGAAATGTAGCACAAAGTGTTTCACATGCAATAGAAAAATTACAATGATTAAAAACAACAGTAACCCCACCCCCACCCCATGGTTTCTTCCATAAATACAGCAATTTAGACAGAAACATAAAAACATAAAGCTCCTAAAGGTTAAAGTAAACAATAAAAAAAATTATAAATAAAAATGGAGAGCTAAAATTAGATGAATATGAAGTAAAAAAAATAATTAACATGAAATTTGTTTCCATTAAAAGCTAAATTAAAAAGATATGTTTTGAGTTTACTTTTAAAATTATGAAAACTTGCAATGAACCTCAGTGAGTTTTAGTTTGGACTCTTAGGACAGTTAAAAGATGACTACCTGAGGTCCTGACAGTCCAAGATAAAAGCAGGTCAGATAAATAAATAGGACTAAGACTATTAAGAGCTTTATCAACCAAAAAAAGAACTTTAAAATCCATCCTTAAAATTGATCTGTAATGGTCTGTAGTTACTGGACCTATCCTCGTGATCCAAAAAGTTCAGTATCTTGCGTACCTTTTTTTTTTTTTTTTTATTTACTAAAGGGTAACAAATTAGTACACAGTAAGTTAGATGGTATTAAGTTAAACGTTAGAAAGAAAATATTATGGATAAAAACCGTGACTCACCCATAGAGTGCTATTGCCCTCCTGAAAATGTGCCATCTTCAAACGCTGGAGTGTGTGAACCTGACCTATTCAACCTAATTGCTAGTCTAAACAGATGACATGCACCTTAAGATAATATCTACTCTACAAGAGAGAGGTAAAAGGTTAACTGCCAGCAGTCAACTTCATGTATAAGCACATTCAGTTGATTTTTGTTCTTGTTTTTTACTGAAAATGTACAGAAGAAATTGGATGCTAATGTACACCAATTAGTTTTAATTTTGATTTTGAAGGTGCATTGTGTAACTTTTCTAGTTGGAGGGCCCGTCAAATGCTTTTCTCTATGAATATGTTATTGCTTTGTCTGGAATGGCTTATTTGACCAAACAAGACTAAGTTACAGGTCAGATCTGTGGAGAGGCGACCGCACTCACAGTCAGAATGCCTGTATTTCTAAGTATTTCTGAGCTATAAAACCTTTGTAATTTGTAACTTGTAATTGAATACATGTACAGTAGAGCTTTTTAATGTCATACTGTGGAACATTCCACACAGAATGAGAAATAAAAAGTTACACTAGTGCATCTTTAATTTTAATTAAATGTTTTTATTTTAATTTTAATAAGTTACATAGTGCACCATTAATTTAAATTTTAATAAAAGTTACGTAGTGCACCTTTAATTTTAATTGTATTTTCAATTTTAATTTTAATCAAAGTTACATAGTGTGCCTTTAATTCTAATTTTAATTTTAATCAAAGTTACACTGTGCACCTTTAATTTTAATTGTATTTTCAATTTTAATTTTAATCAAAGTTACATAGTGTGCCTTTAATTCTAATTTTAATTTTAATCAAAGTTACACTGTGCACCTTTAATTTTTATTTGAATCTGCAGGCAATAAATGTCCCTGTGTGTACAATCCCTCTATCATCCAGGTAGAATCCACGGCAAATGAAGAAATTCAGTTTGTCCAGTCAACAAATGAATGTCCCAGTATCTCTCTGGGGTCTTATTCTGTGTAAAATCTGCTAACCCTGTACTTTAAACCTCTGCAAATAGAGTATAAAATACATGGGCTCCTTGGATTACAGTAGCAGTTCAGATTTCAGTCTTCTTTCTCATTTTCACACAACTGCAAATCAAATCACAAGACTTGTACACACAGACTCATTTTCAAACCTAGAAATTCCTCGCGACAAAATCCACATATCACATGACTCGACAGGTTATCCTCCTCCTTTGCTTTCAAATCCAACCTGTTCTTTTTCCCCTCCAGCTATGACAATTTCCACACGTGTTTTGGTGTCGTATTCCCAGATTTGAAAAGCTCACGTTATAACCAGGTAGAATTACGAGTTAAAAGCTGTGTTTAAGAAGCCACGGTTTGCTCTGTTTATTGTCGTAAGTGGACCAAATGATAATGTAGGCCAGGAGAGAGGAAGGATCATTTCAGACGACAAAACAGGCCCCACATGAATACAGGCTCTGCTACTGAAATTATACTTTTTATACACACTATGTAACACTCTGATTTTCTCCATGGAGATCTTACTGGTTTGCTTTGATATTCCACAGTATAACATAAAACTTCGCTATCTCCATGATGACGCCAAATTGTCTATCTCTAAAGACAAACTTTGAATCATTCGCCATAAAGGAACTGTATGTAAATTTGAACTATCTATGTTCCCAGATATGAGATAAACATTGTCAAATCAGATATAACTTTAACTGATTCAATTCTAAAGCTGACTTATTGACTTGACTCATTTATTTATGTTTTAATTTGGTGTGTAATTTGGTTGTCAAGTTGATTATCCAGTCAGAAAGCAAATTGAACCTCACACAAGTCTCTCACTGGGGTTGCCAGTTTAACTATGACAAAATCTGCGAAAACTGATAAGATGGCCCAGTTTTCTTCATCTATTTATGAATTGCCTATTAATTTGTGTATTATAACTTAAGACAAAAACAAAACAAAAGTAAGAATGATGTTTTTTAGTGTTTAGAGTCCCGTTCCCCAGTGGAAAGCTTTAGCAGGTTGTTGCTTCTGAAACCATGGTTTATCACATGCCCAGTGTCGATAACTACACCGGAAGTCGTCACCATGTTTCCAAACATCTTCAGTTAAGCGTGAATAGAGTCTGGAGAAAGTCTGAGCTTTCACATGAGGCCTGTTGTGTCCATATACTGAGAATGAGGCAAACTTGGATGTGTCTCTATCTGCAGGTTAAGGCTCTGGAGACACAGGTTCAGTTTTGATTGTAGAAGCTTTTCTAAAACTGAAAAGTGCAGGTTACATACAGTTCTTTTAAGAATTTACCCCTTAACTAGAAGATGTCTAGTTCAGTCCTTGCACTGTGCTCATTTGTATTTTGAATTTATTCAGGGAAATTCTCTTGTGATGCAGCATCTCATTTTCAAGATGGACCAAAAACATACAACATAAAGTTTGCACATACACATAGTTCCACAACAACACATTAAAACAAGAAAATACATACATACATACATACATACATACATACATACATACATACATACATACATACATACATGCAATACATATAATACATACATACAATACAAATAAGGACATGGACAAGACAGGACAATTTTGCATGGAACATAATTTGCTTCATCGGATTTTGAATTTTAAATGCCATTGAATTTTTCACTTTGAATTATTATTTTTTTAAACTGAAAAATCATGTTTGAATTATTTTTATTCTACATTTCTTCTAAATATTCTCTGCAAATATATTCAAGGCATCAAATTCAACAATCAAAATTCAGAGTTCAAAATTTGTACTTGAAAAAAATTTGCAGGAAGGATCCAAGATGCCAAGGCCTCCTCACTCACACATGACTGATTGGTTCTGCCTTGGCATTTGGATTTTTGCTGTAAAATTTACACTCTGAATTTTGTCTGTTGAGTTTGAAGGCTTGAAAATATCTGCGCTGAATGTGAAATTTTTATTTTAATTTTGAAACATTGAAATTGAGATTTAAAAAAACCCCAAAGTGGTTCAAAATCTGATGGAACAATTTATCTTCCATAATTTTGCTCACATCCCTCCCCACCCCCATAGGTTCGTCTCATTTTTCATTAACACAAACGCAGTGTTAACAGAATCAACAGCAGTGACAGTCAGTTTTCAGGTAAGTTATCAGAGCCATTCTAAAAGAGCTGAGAGAAGTAAGAGGCCTCAGCGATGGAGGTGGATTTTAACAGGCCCAGCATTTTCCCTGGAGGTCCTTTACTCCCAAGTGCTTCTAGTTAGTCAGCCGCGCGTTCTGATTGAGGCCAATACATTTTACAAGTCTAAATCTGATAGAGCTCTCGTTAAACTCGCCGTGTGTGGCACTCGCATGACATCACTGTTTACATAGCAACCAAAAACCCGCACTGAAGCATTTAGGGCAACGGAAATGCCTTCTTGGTACACTCGCGAAAAAAAAAAAAAAAAGCCCGCACTGTAACCTGTGTGCACTTCTGGATCTAATCTTGGCCCCGGCGCTCACCGCAAACACCTCCTCTACAAATGAGCGAGGCCCTAAAAGCTTTTCCTCTCCTATAAATACCATTAGCGTTACACAGCCGAAAAAGCAATTAATCTACTTTTCGTATTTTTTTTATTTATTTATTTTTTGTGGTTTTCGTTTTGGGCAGACGGTGAAGCTGGAGAAGACGTGGAGCGTGCGGTCGGAGAGCTCGGAGATGATCCAGGGGATGGTGGCGTGGGTCAAAAGGCAGTGGGAGGACATGTTTGGAGTCAAGTTGAGTCTGCAGGAGGCGTCGTAAGGCACACGCACGTACAGATAGGAATGAAGTTCTCGGACAATTTGTGGGACTTTTTTTTTCTTTTTTGGTTTAGGAAAAATGGAGAAATTCACCTTCACAATCACTATACCAAATATAACACATGTTGCAAATACCTACACTACCGGTCAAAAGTTTTAGAACACCACCCTTTTTCCAGTTACTGTTTACTGTTGATCAAAACATATTCTAAACTTTTGATTCATGAAAGTGTCCACCTTTGGCAGATAGAACAGCTGAACACACTTGTGGCTCATTCTTTTTACAATAGAAATCAAATATACTTCAGAAAGTTCATCCCAAGTCTGTTGCAGAAGTTTCCGTAAATGTGTGGCACTTGTTGGTTGCTTCACTCTTCTGTCCAGTTCATCCAAAACCAGCTCGATAGGGTTTAAGTCTGGACACTGTGCTGCTGGACACTCCATGTTTTCAAGTTCACCATCTTGTTCTTTTTTCCTGAGGTAGTTCTGGCAGAGTTTGGACCTCAGGCTGTTCAGTTTTTACCTTTGTACCATTTCAAGCTCTTCATTGGACTTGCATGACTTGAATTGCGATAAATAACTGGAAAAATTAGGATGTTCTAAAACCTTTGACCGGTACTGCATGTTTACAAAAGAAAAGTGAATTCTGTAATAAATGCAATGTAAAAATGCATTGTTTAGCTTTTCTGCTGGATGGTCCGTCAAGCACTTTTCTCCATGGAGATGTTATTGCTTTGTCTGAAATGTTTCACAGTATGACATTAAACCTTTCTAGCTACATGGAGGTCAAACCAGACCAAGATACAGATCAGATCTGTGGAGAGGCAACCCTATTCACAGTCAGAATGTTGTTTTTCTAGGTATTTTTGAGCTATAAAACTGCCTGTAATTGAATAAATGTAAAGTAGATATTGTAGATTAATGTCATACTGTGGAACATTCCAGGCAGAGCAAGGATCAGGTGATGGACCCCCAACCAAAAAGTTACACAGTGCAACTTTAAGGACCTGATTATACAAATATGGGCAAATATCGGTTACAACTGCGAGTCAAATATCAGACATTGGTTGTTTCCGCCTGGCACTAGGGTTTCCTTCATCAATCTAAATCGTTCACTAGCTCAAGATCTGGAGGCGAGTTCCCAAAGGCCCAAACCTCAACGCTGTGCTGTGATTGGTCCGTCCACCAACAGCCGGGCCCTCTCTTACAAGCGGGATCATGCCAAGGCGGATTCTTGCGAGTTTATCCGTCTTGCTGTACAAGATTACCCAGGCGCTGCACTCCTCCTCCTGACACACTGTCCTATAAGTGTTCAAGGATGGGTCAAATCATAGACTGTATTTATAAATTGAAGTACGTTCCAAACAGGAATTGAGCATGGGCACACTTCCGGCTCCATCGACTTCAGTTCAATTCAATTCGCTTTGTATTGAAAAAACGCTACCCCTCCCTCTTAAAATGCTCATATAAAACTGCTCTACATGATCATGATGTTTTTATTTCAATATTTTGTCCGTAAATCAATTCCTATTCTCATACAAACCTGGATCCAAATTCTCCCCTATAGCTTCTACCCTCGATGAGCTTCGTTTGACTGGAGCCAAACACTTTGGTAGACCTCAGTCCGCTTCTTTATACAGTCTATGGGACAAATGCGAAGTAAATATCAAGTATTAGAGGACCCACACGCACATGTTCTCAAAGAAACGCTCCATCGGGCCTGAGAAAGCCTGTTGCGTAATAGATTTTCTTCTTTTTTTTTCACTTGTTTTTTTACGGTCAAATTGCGTGTGCCTCGACCTACCAAAACAGCACTTTAAACATGACAACAAGGCGGAAATCGGGCGAAGAGAACAAAATGTATACGGCAATTTCAAGGCTCATTTCTGCTCAAAAGGTATGAGCTTGTTTGAGATGGCAGCCGACCCGAGTCTGTTCTTTGCGGATGATGATAAAGACACAAGCAGCCCAGTAAGTTACATCATACCAGCTGTCAATTTTTGATAATGAAACAGGAAAACAAACCTGGAGATATCGCTAATCTGCTTATGCCACTTATGTCATGGTCTGGTCATGTTATTTTGTTCTGTACAGTCATTTCTGTGTTTAAATATGTTTATATAAAGATTATGTTATCTAGATTAAAGATTTGTACATGTTTTTTACCGTCTTGAAAGCGTGAAAAAACAGAGCTAGTTCATTGTAAACAGTTTGCCGTAGTCCAAAGTTATTCTTCACTTAACCTTATGCATTTTGAGCGTCATAGTAATTCACCATGAGTTTATAAGCTAACAACAATGAATGCTGACCGTGCACTTCCTGATTGTCGGATCAATAAAAAAGTTAGTTTGATCTCAAGAGCTGCTTATACAATATATCTGTACTTGGGCAAGACACATTTTGCTCAAATACATGGGAAAAAATCAAGTACTAACCCTTGAAGTTAAAATAATTTTGCGGTTGTACTGTCTGCAGCAAATTTTTTCTAAGTTTTTTACTGTGCCATAATCAGGAAGTGCTCATTAGGATGATTATTGTTAGCTTTACCATTATTGAAGCTTTTGGGCGACAGTAGCTCAGTTGGTAAGAGCGTTTGTCCGCGGATCAGAAGGTTGGCGATCGAAGGTTGGCGATGCATTTCCAGCTCCCACAGATGAATGCAGTTGTCGTGTCCTTGGGCAAGACACTTAACCCACCTCAGTGTCTGCGTACACGGGTGTATGAATGTGTGGGTGAGTGATTCCTTGATGCAAAGCGCTTTGAGTGCCTTGAAGGTGGAAAAGCACTGTATAAAAGTGTGACTATTTACCTTTTACTTCCTGATTCTCAGACACTTTCTAATTAGATGCAGACAGCACACAGCAGTCTTATTTTTATTTAAATAATTCTAACGTGTACTGTCTGCATTTAATTAGAATGTGCTGTACTGTTCAATAATCAGGAAGTGCTCATTAGCATGCTTGTTGTTAGCTTTACCGCCACTGCAAAACTCCGCTCTGGTCTCTGAAAGTTGTGAAAAGCTCTTATAAACTCATCCTGGTGAATGCATAAGGTAAGTGAGGAATAACTTTGGACCACTGCAAACCGTTGAAAATGAACCAGTTTTGTTTTTCACATTTTTAAAACTGTAAAAAAAAAAAAAAAATCTGGTAGATCAGACAGTAATTTGTTGATTGACTAAGGCTTGAATAAGGATTTGAGAAATGCAATGATTTTGTTTTGTTTTTTTTCTTCTTGAACATTGAACATCTGTGATAAATGTTTTTTTTTTACATTAAACAATGCAAACTTTTTTTTTGCCTTATCACAGAAATATTTTACTTACATTTGGGAATATTCAATTTACATTATTTCTCAAGCATTTCAGTGTGTTTTTTCCCAAATCTTTATTGCCACTCAAGTTCAGACTTTGCACCCAAGACCTGTAGCATACCATCCCTTCAGTTGGAAACAAAGGTTTAATGACAGAATTGGGGCAAACCTTTCACCTATTGGTCAATAGTCACATGCTATGTCTGAGCCCTGTGGGATTATGGGACAGAGGCTCCAACAATGTCTCTTAATGGGAACTTTTTTTTGTTATTCTTAAGATAACTTTGTGTGTTAACTTCTGTCTCTTTGTCTAATTTACCTATGAAACCGAAGTACTGTGATATAGATAACCATCGTGACATGTATGTAAATTATCTTTTTCTTTTTCTGTGTTCAAATGATTTATTTTTATATGAAGTATTAAAATCTAATCATTAAATATTTTCCTGGGGTGTTTGTTTATTTTTTTTTATTATTTTAAAAAGGGCGACAGTAGCTCAGTTGGTAGAGCTTTTGTCCACTGGCCCCACAGGTTGGCGGTACAAATCCAGCTCCCATAGATGAATACTGTTGTTGTGTCCTTGGGCAAGACACTGAACCCATCTCGCCCCCAGTGTCTGGTGTGAGTGTGAATGGGTGAGTGGTTCCATGATGTAAAGTGCTTTGAGTGTCTTGAAGGTGAAAAAGCACTAAATAGAAATTTGCCAAATTGTATTTTGAATTAAATTTTTTTCATTTTTGTATATTAATTTTACTTTTATTTATTTAACTTATTTTATGTATTTATTTATTACTTATTTATTTGTTGTAGTTATTTATTTTTATTTATTCATTTATTACTTTTTATTTATTTATTTATTACTTTTATACATTTTTATATAGTTTTATTTTATTTTATTTTTATTTTAAAGGTGCACTGTGCATCTTTTTGGTTTACAGTCTGTTCACCTGCTTGTTTCCATGGATATGCCATTGCTCTGTCTCGAATGTTCCACAGTATGAATTAAATTAAACCTTACATTTATTAATTTTTGATTTTTTTTTTTTTTTAGCTCAATAGTGCCTATAAAAACAGACATTCCGACTGTGCGTGGGGTGCCTCTCCACAGATCTGACCTGTCTGGTTTGCTCTCCGTGAAGATAGAGAGGTTTAATACCATACTGTGAAACATTCCAGACAAACCAACAACGTCTCCACAGAGAAAAGCATTTGACGCAGAAAAGTTAACCGGGCACCTTAAATTTCAATTCCATTTTTTTTATTATTTAGATTTTTTTTAGCTTAATCATACTAATTTATGTCTTTAATGTGATTGCAGTGGAACCAACAGAGCACAGGGAGTTTGTAAAGCAAAACTGAGACGCAGGATGTGGCAGGGTAAGTTAGCTTTAGCTCGTAATGCTAACGTTGTCTTAGCAATACAAGTTAATTTGCGCATCAGTGGAATATTAGGGGACCTTATAATTGATTTGTTGGGTAAGTAACCTCGCAGCTAAAACCAGCTAGTGTTTTGTTTACTTAAATATTCTACAGGTGGATCTTATCAGCAGAAAGACGTGGATACAATACGGTTTATCTCCACCAGCCATCTTGAACCCGGGGAATTCTCCAGGTGTTTACAGCGGGTGCCCTTCCAGTCAAAATGGGCCACTTTTCGACAATCGAAATGGCGGAATGTTGGTGAAGTGTTCTATTGGGGACACAACAGCTGGGAATCAAACCGGTAACCTTGAGGAACATTTTTCAGCCATTACACAAATTACCCTTTAAAGGTGCTGTATCTGATTTTTACAGTCTTAAAGGGCCCATTTTACACCATTTTTCAGGACTTGTGTTTTTAGTTTCAACCCTGGAATTGCCTATTTTGACTGAACTAAAGGTTAAAAAACTGGTAGCTGTTAACTTGAAAACTACCACTTCATGACATCACAAGGAGGAACAGATCATTTTGAGCTTTGGAGATGTAAACAGACTAATAATAATAAAAAAATAAAACATGCAAACATGTGAATGAAACTAATAATAAGTAATATAGTACCTTTAAAAATGTGAAAAACCGAGCTAAGCAACTTTCAGAACGCAACTGCTAACAGCTAGCACGCTAACAACACAACAAGGTTACTTCCTGGTTTGCAGACGATAAAAAGGCTTTATAATTAGATGCAGACGGTACACTGCGGCCTCATTTCGTACTGGGGCAAAACAAAATGAACTTTATTGCCTAAATAAATCAAAAAACGGTGCAGCCCCTTTAACAAATGTGCTTCTGTTTATGTTAGCATCCATCTCTTTTACAACCCTCATCATTACTGATCCTTTTACGACTACGAGTCCTATCCAAACATACAATTACTACAAATACTACTACAAAAAACTACTACTACACATACTACTACTGCTGACACTACTACAATTACTGCTACAAAAACTTCTACTACTAACACTACTACAAATACTACTACTACTTCTACTACTACCAATGTCCCACTACAAAAACTACTACTACATGTATAACTACTACTACTACTTCTACTACTATAGATACTACAGATACCACGTCTACTACTACTTCTGCTGCTACAAATACCACTACTACTTCTTCTACTACTGCTACAAATACTACTACTACTATTACTACTTCTTCTGCTACTATAAATCACTACTACAACAAATACTACTACTACTACTTCAACAACAAATACTACTACTACTACTATCACAACAAATACTACTACTACTTCAACAACAAAAACTACTACTACTACTACAAATACTATTACTATGTCTTCTGCTACAAATACTGCTACTACTTCTACTACTACAAGTACTGCTACTACCACCACCCACATTCTTCCTGCTCTCCCACTCGTGCCCTTTGACCTCCATTACTACTACTACTACAAATACTACAAATACTTCTACTACTACTTCTTTTACTAGTACTTCTACTGCTACTACAAATACCACTACTACAAACACTACTACTACAAATTCTGCTTGTACTATTACTACTTCTACTACTACAAATACTACTATTACTTCTTCTACTACTACTACTATGTCAACTACTACAAATACTGCTACTACTTCTATTACTACTATTTCAACTACTACTTCTACTACTACTTCTGCTACTACTACTTCTTCAACTACTACTACTTCTACTACTACTGCCACCCCCTTTCTTCCTGTGCTCCCACTTGTACCCTTTGACCTCTATTACTACTTCTTTTGCTACTACAAATACTACTACTGCATCCACTACTACATATACTGCTATTACTTCTATTACTACTTCTACTACTACTACCCCCCTTCTTCCAGCTCTCCCCTTCATGCCCTTTGACCCCCATTAATGCCATTACTTTCCACGCCGTCGCTTAAACCCGCGCGAGAACCTCCACGTATCCGACCCCGTTTAAACCTATAGAAATTCCGAGTTGCATGTGATTCCTTCAGACTTCCACTTCTCACCATATCGCAAAAATAGTCCGCGGTACTGTCAGCAGTCATCGAAAAAACTCTGTAATTATCTTAAATGTGGCATGGCAGCAAATAAGGACCAGATGCATTGGAGGCTTGTGTTGCTTTCTTGTAGCCACGCAACATTAGCAAATATTGTAAACAGGAGTTAGCTGATATCTAAGCTTGGAGGAGCGCGCTTCGGGTTCGAGCGAGCAAAACTGGCTTCTTTTAGGCTAATCAAACGTGAAAATGATAAAAGTTGCAAGTGACGTCATAGCAGTGGTGGGAAGTAACGAAGTACATAAGTATAAATTGTAGGTATCTGTGCTTTACTTAAGTCCATGTTACAGTGGATACTTTTTACTTTTTCGTCACTACATTTTGAGAGTGTGTATCTGTACTTTCTACTCGACTACGTTTTAGATCTGGACTGAAACATAAAAAGTACTTTGAAATGGCTGAGACTTTTACAACCCTCATCATTGCTGATTGTTTTACCGACTATGAGTCTTATCCAAACATACAATTACTACAACTACTACTAGAAATACTAGTACTACTTCTACAAATATACTACTACTATTAATACTACTACAAACACTACTACTGCTTCTCCCACTACAAAAACTACTACTATTCCTTCTACTACTACGTCTCCTACTACAAATACTACTTCTACTACTACAGATACTAAGTCTGCTACTACAAATACCACCACTACTACGACTTCTACTACATCTACAAATAATACTTCTATTACTACTACTACTACTACTACTACTGCTACTACTACTATAAATACTGCTGCAACTACTACAAAGACTACTAATACTTCTGCTCTTCCACTCGTGCCCTTTGACCCCCATTACTGCTACTACTATTTTCTATTACCTCTACTACTACTACATCTACTACTATAAATACTGCTTGTACTACTACTTCTATGTCTACTACTACTTCTACTACTACTACTACTACCTCTACTACTACTTTTTCTACTACTATTTCTACAACTACTTCTACTTCTAATACTATTGCAAAATTGATACTTTTAACTTTTACTTCACTACATTTAAGAGCATGTATCTGTACTTTCTACTACATTTTCGATCTGGACTGAAATGTAAAAAGTACTTTGAAATGGCTGAGACTTTTTTTTTGCGTGTTTCATTTGAGTTTCCGCCCCAACTTTGAGTAAACCAAACACACAAAAACACACACACAAAAAAAAAAAGAAATCAATTGAAGTACTTCTGTCTATGTTATAATGTAGTTTCCTCATCACAAGTTCTTCTCTCAAACTGAAAACACTGTTCCACCTTGTGATGTCACGTGGTCATTCAGGAAGTGCTCCACTGTGTTTTTAAACTCCATACACCTTCACATTTGGATGATTTCAGACCTGGAATTGCCTATCTCTACTTACCTAAAAGTAAAAGGAGCTGTTAGGGTATCTGAAAACTACCACTTCATGACATCACAAGGTGGAACAGAGCAGTTTGAGCTTTAAAGACAGACTAAGAATTACTCAAACTTCAGGCATGTTTTTGATGAGGTGACAACATTATAACATGGTTTAAAGGTGAACAATTCAACTTTTCTGGTATGGCAGTTGTACATCTGCTTGTCTCCATGAAAATGCTTTAGAATGTTCCCTAGTATGGCATTAAACGAATATATCTTGTTGTTTTATGTCTCAAAAATACCCTGAAAACTGTGAGCGGGGTCGCCACTTCACATATGTGACCCTTAACTTGGCATGATTGCATCCCCTGTTTGTGTTTAAAGCCATGCTGTGTGACATTCCTGACAGAGCAGTAACATATTGTCTCTATGAAGATTTCCCATTACAAAAGTTATGCAGTTCACCTTCAGCTTATTGTATTACAGACAATTTTTTGCAGTTTGAATTAATTAGAATTTTTGTGATAACTTTTTCTAAATACTGAACTGAAGATGCTCCAACTTTGTTTTTATT